ATTGATGAATTAAACTTTAAAATAGGTATGTACGTATAGGAGAAAACATGCTATATAGGGTTTGGTACTACCTGCAGTTTCAGGCATCCACTGGGGGTCTTGGAACATATTCCCTGTGATTTAAGAGGGACCACTATATGTAAAACAAGGAGAAAAGGCTATCAAGGACAAAATTCTGGACAACAACCAGCAAATAAAACAAGAGGGTCCCTGATGGAAACTGAGAAGGTGCAGAGAGTCAGGAAGAAAACAAATGCCAGTGGCAGAATAGAAGAGAGAAGATAATCTCAATCCCAGGTTAATGGATGAGGATTCCCCAAATTGCTTTTTAGTAACAGTTTATACTCTTGAGAATTGTACTTATTAATATATGCCCTGGGGAAAACTGTATATCAGATATATTTACAAGACTACTGGTACGATGCCTGCTTTACCAATCTGCTCTTTAGAGATATAAAAATGCACACTTAACATAAAGCAAATTTTCCCACCAGCAAGTGGCTCAGTGTAACACTAGTATTATCAGTTGTTTCCTGCTGCTCTAGGTAATTTGTTTTTGTTGCTATACGGTATTTATGGCCACGTTGTAATCTATTGAGTCTCTGGTCAATAGACATTTGGGGGCTTTGGGGAACAGTGTGGCCGTGAACATCTTATGCAGCTGACTGTCCTTGAGCCCAGGGTTCTCCAGGACAGCAGTTTTCAGGTTGTGGTTCACTGACGTCCAGGGTTGCAGGGTCCCAAAAACCCTTCAAGAGGGAGTCTGTGAGATCGAAACTATCTTTATAATAATAACACCAAGACGTAATTTGCCTTTTTCACTGTGTTGACATTTGTGCTGCTGGTACTAAAGAAACGGTGGGTAAAGCGCCAGCGCCTGTGCAGGGATCCAGGCAGGGCACACGGGGCCAGTCTGCGCTGCGCGCTTCCCCCGCGGGCCCTCGCAGCAAAAACAGAAAGAACACTGATTTCAGTTCATCTCCTTGATGCAGCAGTAAGAAGTATTTATTTTATTAAACCTTAACCCTTGAGTAACATATCTTTTTGGTATTTTTAATATTCTGTGATGTGATGGCAAGTGTGCATAAAGCCCTTCGGCTGCATGCCACAGTCCAAAGGGTGTCCCAAGGACAAGTGCTTACCTCGGGAGTTGGAACTAGCCACTTTTTTCAATGGAATATCAATTTTACCTGAGAAAATAACTGATGGACAACTATGGTCATTTAACTTGGGAATTTGGTAAGACATTTTCTCAAAAATGAATGAAGTGAGGCTGGCACTTTGAGAAAAACAACCGATGGTGTTTGTTGCCAATGATAAAATTCAACTTTCCAAGAAAGTTAGAATTTGGAAAAATCTGTATTGGCCATCATGAGCTTGACAGCTTCTCAGAACTTTCTGATGAGATTAGTTCATCGATGTGATGTGATTTTTTTGTAAGTATAATGAACTATATCAATGTTGGAAGATCAGTGGAGCAGTATTTTCCAGATGACCAATGAATGATATTACAAAATCATGCATGAGTAAAAGATTCATTCTAAGTACAAGGAACCTGGGTATCTTCTAATTTGTATGTGAGCCTTTGGGTTTCCTCTTTGTGACATACTTATCTGTTTACCCATTTTTTTCTATTGGGTTATCTGCCTTTTTGTTATTGAATTGTAAGGATTATTTATATCTTCTCACCTTTTTTTCCTGTTTTTTTCTCCTGGAATTTTGTTTATATGTGTGGCAGATACCTCCACCCATTCTTTGGCATGTCTTTTCACTATTTTTATAGTACCCACCTTTTAAAATTATTTATTGACAGGC